TGGTCACATAGTACTATTAGTTTTTTGATGATATATTAGAGTCAAAAAAGACAAATATAAGCACAGAAAGTACCATGAGGTCTTCAAATTCCATTATAGTTCATTCTCCTGAGAGGCTTGCCAAGGTCAACCATAACTCTCTGTGCTATGCTTTGTTACTTTGGGCCACTCTACAATAATTTTGAAATCATATATGATATTTGAATTTATTACTTATTTGAATACCTCAGTTCTCTTAAGAGAAAGTTGTATTGATATATCTCTGATGTATTTAACCCCTTAGTTGGTATTAACTATATGGCTTATTTCAAACACAGCTTTAAGAGCCCTCTGATGTGCATGTAAAGTGAACCAGAATAGTAAATTCAAATCTCTGGGTTTGTCTATTTTCACTAGGAACAAAAAGGAATTGTGTTCTATTTCATATGATCTTCTTACCTGAGCATACTGAATGCTTACTAGTCAATTCAAGAGGAGCTCTGTGATGTCATTAATAAAATGTTTAAGCCAGATTTTGGAAATACTCTATGTTTCACTGGAATATTCTTTTTAAAACATTGATCTTTTAATTATTTTTCTTAGGATTAGATATATGTATTATGACTTTCAGAATGAACTCCGATTTTGTCATTTTATTCCCGTGTACAAATAGTGTTTTTATTTTTCACTTGCTTCAGAGGAATAAGATAAATCAAAGTAGTGGTCACCCTTAATAATAGATAGAGTCCTCACTTTACAAATGAACACACAAAAGCAGCCCCTATTGTATTGAAACCCCAATTAGTTTCTTTCTTTTTCCTGAGCTCCATGGTGCTGATTATAGCATTTTGATTCTAGGCATGGTTCTTTCATTCCACTACAATATTGCCATGATCCCAAGCAACAACCTAGTTAGCAATGCATTAGTCAGGGTAAAATGATATAAAGTATGGGTTGTAGAACTAAGGGTGAGAATATTACCATCTGAGAAGGTGGTAGAAGAGAAGATCATTGTAGTTTATGGCCATTTGGGATGTTCAATACAGTAAACATATCTGGCAAGTATACACTTTAAAAAAACTTTTACTTATTTGTTATAATTTGTTATGGGAAGGAGGGGGGAGAGGGAGGCAGAGAGAGGGAGAGAGGGAGAGATTGAGATGGATCAAAGAAAAGGTAGCCACAATTTAATCACTGTTCATTATTGCCTATCTCCTAGACTGTCAACACTGGGATGAAGCTGAAGTTGTTATTTAAGAGTGACATATACAATGAGAATTTTTTTTTCTGATACTTAACGATAGCTGTGAGGATATTTCATTGGAATTCTCCCTTTCTTTAGCAAACACATATTTTTAAACTTTTAGTTGTTTTTATTATTGGCTTTATTTGTTACTTACATATCACTTCTGATTTTTCACATAAAAGACTAATCTATGAAATTTTAAGATTTTCCTTCATTGTAAGTAGACATGCCTCTTGATTTAACCAGTTTAAGGATAGTATTTGGCTGGTATTAGTGTGTGTGTGTGTGTGTGTGTGTGTGTGTGTATAAATTTGAATTAAGTTCTTATATCAATATATAATAAGTAAGACTTTTTTAGAGCAAGAAAAAACTCTGATTTTTTGAGTATTGTTTTCTGTGAAAGTATGGATTGACGCTGGGAAGAATCCTCTAGATAGCAGAGTTAACAGATACTTGTGAAAGCAGTGATACATAACCAGCATGTAATCCAGTAGAATATAAACCCCTTAATGGTGGAAAATGTGTCCTGTTCACTTCTGTTTTTCCAGTGAGTAATAGCCATGTGGTAAATATTTATTGAAAGCAACCAAAGAAAATATAGTTAAATAGACTAAGGAATTATAATTTTAAACTTATGCTTTCTAATATGTAATTTTGCTTAAAAACTTTTATCTAATTAGAATAAAATTTTAAGAAAGGAAACAAGTATCAAAAGATAGATATATGTGCCATAAATGGATTTCATTTCTTTCCTAGGCAAAATAGCATATGACTGGCAGCATATTGTTGATTGGCTTTGCTGACAATGACACATTTTGCTTCACATTGTTTTTATACATTATTTGTACTCAACTAGACATGCTTATTTTCAGAAAATTTAAATTTTATTATATAGTATAAATTAGAAAATATATAATTATTTTAAAATCATTTTTGTGAAAAAATGTTTTTCTCCATACAAGGTAAGATCAGTTGACATTCACAGTGGTATATACTTTAGAGTTTTATTTTTTGTAGGTAAAGTTTGCCATTGCATCTGTATAGTATCACCAAATTGTAAGTTATATGCTTTGAGTAATTGGACTGGTGCTTAATTTTATGTGAGGCTTAGAAGGTAACATAGGGAGTATGAAATGCATTCTTGTTATTGAAGCAAGTGTCTTTTTGCTCTCACTGGCAATTTAGATTAAATTTTAAGCAATTAAATAGGATCATGATTTGCTTTGAGCATCTGTATTTATTCGTCTGTAACAAAAATACTTCATTTCAGTGTTCACTGTTAGGTGACTATTCAGAGGGCTTATTTGCTACAATTTCTCTAAGAAAAATGTAGCTTGAAATGCATTTTAAGCTCTATGCTATGTTTGTTATAGTTCTTCAGGCAGATAGGTTTAAAAGAAACATATGAGATACCTGAGCAAGTTTTTGCTGACATATGCAATACCTGCCTCCTAATAGGTCGTATTTCAACGGCTATATTTTTGATAAATGGCTTGGCTCTACAAAGCTCTGTCCGTGGTGGTGAAACATCTCATGATGTATGAGCATGTCTTACTGATAAATTCTAATGTCAGCCTCTGTGTGATAGTGATTCATCAGGTTGTAAAATTTGTGTTTGGGAAACACACTGAATTAGCAAGTTTCATATTTTGGATGTGTTGAAATTAACACAGTTTGTCCTTTTGTTTTAAAGGGTTCATAACAGTTACCTTCCAGATTGTCAAAAACAGCAGGATTTAATTAGAAACTGTCAAGGCTACCATAAAAGCAAACATCTATATTAACAAATAAATTGATATGACTACAGTGCTGGAAATGTTTACAGGCCAGTGACATGTTGATAAACATGCAGCAAGCTATTGTAAGAAAAGTTAAACACTTGATTATGAACAGGCATAGCAGCAATTAACATGGAAGCCTTGTAGCTTTGTAGAGATAAGTGATTTGCGTATAGAAAATATGGCTTATTATCTTAGATGTTTTTTATTGTTTCATGGGTTTTTTTTGTACACAAATACATTTATTTTGCAGGACTGTAAGTTTTTGTTTGGAAATCTGACTTAAAACCCTAAAAGATTTTGGTTATTTTCTCCAAGTGAAATCTTTATATTTCCTATTTTAGATTCTTTAAATAATGAGTAATGTTTTTTGGCACTTCATTGATTGTTTTTTAGGTGTCTTAAATATAGTCATAGATAACTACACTTAACCTTTTCTTTTACTCTATTTATTTTAAAGATTTATTTTATTTATTTGAGAGAAAAATAGAGAGGGATAGAGAGAGAAAGAGGGAGGGAGAATGCATGTGTGGTGGGGAGGGGCAGAGGGAAAGAGAAACTTAAGCAGACTCTGCACTGAGTTCGGAGCCAATGCGGGGCTTGATCTCATGACCCTGAGATCATGAGCTGAGCCAAAACCAAGAATCAGATGCTCAATCGATTGTGCCACCCAGATGCCCCTCTTTTACTCTAAATTAGTCTTAGAAGCTTTTTCTTGTATTATCAAAACTTTCTTCTCAAATTTTTATTAAATTTTGGGATTATCTAATTTATGTCATTTTTATATGGGAGTGAACCAAATAAAAGCGATAATTTTATAAAATGGAACCTGATAAACTTATTCTACTAATAATCCAATATGTTTAAAGTAAAATTTTAAAATCCTAATCTTGGAAAATCCTAGTCTTCTAAAATTCTAAAATTCATTGTTATCCTGAGGAAAAGAACAATTCAATCTGATCAGAGCAGACTTCAAATCAGCACCAACTAGGTTAGTTGCTATACAAGTATATAAACCTCCCTCTTTTGGGTTCATGTGAAACATGTTTGGTTGTTAGATTTGCAACACAGAAAATTATTAGATTATTGGCTTATTACTGCAGTGAACCACATTAAGTGTTCAGAATCACAGAGATTTGAAAATTAGACCTAAATCATAAATCCTACCAAAAATTGGCAATGTTTTCTGCAAAGCAAGCAGCTTACATTTGAGCTACTACTAATTAAAATAAAGCCTTCAGTTCCTCAGATACTGGATTTACATGTACTTACCAATTAAATCAACTCTAAAACCTTCTTGTTAAGAAAATATTTAAGTGAATACATGATGTCCTGAGGATTTGTTTCTGTCAATAAAGGGTTAAACAGTGTTGTTTTTATTGCCTTTCAATACTGATAAAGTGCTCCAAATTCATTTTTGTGCATTATAAAAATGTAATTACAGAACCCAATAAAAGTGCCTTAGCATTCCAAATTTCATTATAGAAAAACACTTTTAAAAAATGTCATTTAAATGATACCTGGTCAGATGACATTTCCCAGAAATTATTCTTTATTTAGAAACAAAAACAAGACAAAAGCAATTGATTTTAATCCAAAATGTATTTTTTTCTTATAAAAGAGGCCCACATACTCACTGTGTCTACTCTACAGAATTTGTCCATTTTATTACACCACGTGTCAATTCAAGTTACCTAGTCACTGCAAAAACTCGTGGCTAATATGTGTAATACAACACAGGAGGAGGTATTGCTCAGTTCAACTACTCTTATATACTTAAAAAAAATACAGAAATGTTTTTGTCCACTTTAACTGTAGTCCAGACATAAAAGTTACATGAAAGTTCTAGAAAATGGAATTATTTTATTTGGTTGCCACAGTACCCTTTGAAGCCAGTTAATTAAAATGCTGAACTTGTATATATTTCCCTTGGTCAGGAGCAGCATTGGGGAAGCTTAAACTTCTTTCTAGAAAGCAACATTTCTCTGCTTTTTTAAAATTTTTCAAGCATAGCTGCAGTCTTAAGCTTTTCTTTGAAGTAGGTTTAGTTAGTTGTTTTTAGGACATATTTGTTGGCACACCTATAACAGTTGCTTTCACTTCCAATGCTGTACTTTTTTCTTTGCCTGTTTCCCAGAGGTTGATTAGAGGAGGATAAAGCTCACTGAACGTGAAGGTTGGTTTCTGTAAGTAATTCCTCATATAACCATGTCCACCATCACAGTTCATTTCTTGAGAGAGGCAACTGAAAAGACATACCATACCAATAATCCCCAGAAAGCCTCCAAGGCAGGCCATAAAGGTTGTGGTGTTACTCTTTTCATATTCTTTTCGATTAGGGTCCAAACCTTTTGTGGTGACATTTACACATTGTTTTCTGGTTTTTTGATAGATGGTGGGGATATCAATACAAATTTTGTACTCAGTTGATGGGTTCAGATGAGTAAGATTATATACCTTGACATCAGATGGTATTCGAGCACTTTGGGCAGCATGGGAATTTTCAGTCTTGACAAAGGCTGTCCACTTAACACTGGATTTGAGAATTTTAGAACTTGCTTTCCAAGACACCAGAACTGAATTGGCCTGAACATCTTTTATTTTAATATTTAAGGATTCATTGTTATCCTGGGGAAAAGAACCATCCACTTTGATCATAACAGACTTCAAGTCTGCACCAACCAGGTTCGTTGCTATACAAGTATATAGACCCCCTTCTGTTGGGGTTATGTCACTTATATCTAGTGTGCCTTCAGAATGGACGTAGAACTTGTCTCTCAGAGTATTAGGTAAGAGTTTTTGGCCAGAAGGTGTTACCCAGTAGATTTCAGGCTGTGGCTCTGCAGTAGCTCTACAATGCAAGGAAACATAGCTCCCAGCTTCCAAATCCAGATTAGAAGGGAAGCTCTCAGGAGCTATAAGAGGGAGACAGATTTCCATCATTTCCCTGAAATGTACCTGCCGAACATTTTGGCCTTGGAATTCAGGTGGGTCCACGCAAAATAGTGAGTCTGGTTCCATAAATCGAATGTTGGTTTTGTTCATATTAATCCAACGGATGACACAATCACACCTGATGGGATTGCTGTGTATGCTGATCTCCTTGAGATTTGGCAGAGACTCAATTGTACCATGGTACAGGGCACTAAGGGCATTGCTGTTGAGCATGAGTGATTCCAGCTTGGGTAGTCTGAAAAATGCATTTGGGTGAATGTAAGACAACCGTGGGTTGTTTGTAGCTTCTATTTTTCTTAAATCTGGCAGGTTATCCACAGCAAGACTGTCGATGGAAATCAGCTCAGGCATATTATTTATTCCCAACTCTTTTAAGTGTAGCATATTGCTGAAATCACCCCTCCGTATTCTATTAATGGGATTTTTATTTAGATCCAAAAATTTGAGGTTTATAGCTTTTTGGAGAGCAACATGGGGCACTTTAATAAGCCTGTTGTCATAAAAAGAGATGCTTTCTAAGTTTTCAAGTCCAACCAAGGCATTATCTGGTATTTCCGTGAGGTTTATACCAGCTATAACCAGGCTGCGGAGATTGATAAGCGGCTTAAAGTTCATGTCTTTGATTCTGATGATTGGATTTTCCCCGATCATCAGAATCTCCAGATTGGGAAGAGCATCAAACCACTTACTGTTGATCATCTGCAATCTATTTGAATTGAGATGAAGTCGAAGAAGATTATGTAGGCCAATAAAGGCTCCGGGTGAAATTGTAGAAAGCAAGTTGTGATTAATATAGAGTTCTTGTAAGTTGCTCAGTCCAGACAGACATTTTTCAGGCAGCTCAGTTAGTTTGTTTTCCTCTAAATACACAGAAAGAAGCTGAGGCATCTTTTTTACATTAATATTGGTGACTGAAGATAAATTGTTTTGAGATAAGTCCAGGCCGGTGAGGTTTACTGGAAAGTCTATGGAGTATTCAATTTTTGCAATATTGTTAGTCTGTAGGAGCAGAATCTGTGTGTCAGCAGGCAATCTGGCTGGGAAATTTAAAAGACCTAAATCATTACAATCCACTGTAGATGCTTCCATATAAATGGATCTGGGTGTAAACCAAGGCCTGATTTCACATGTACATAATTGTGGGCAATCCGTTTTTTTATCTACAGCTTGTACTAGTGTAGTGATAGCGAGGCCAAGTAGCACATGAATTCGGAGTGGCATGTCCTTCATCTTAGCTTTCTTCTTCAGAAATTTAATGGGCCCTTAAGGATTCCACAGTCACTGCTAGGAAGTTCAGTAAGAGTTGATTGATAAGGAAAATAGTTGCATTTGTCAAATGATGAATGCCATAAAACTGCAGAGTTTTTCTTCATGGATATAAGTGCTGGTGCCACAATTGTCTTGTCCAGAAATGTCATGCATATTGGAAAAAAGATCACTATCTCCTTTATGATAGAATACTGATACACTTTTTGAAGATGGAGTACGTATAGATGGTCACAGGAAATTGAGCAATTCATTTATATAAGGGTGTAATATTCAAATCCCATGCTTGTTCAGTACTTGCAGGAATAGCAGCATGATGCTGACTATAATACAATGGAACATAAAAGAAAAAAGAGAAGAAGAATTAGTCCAAGGAAAAAAATACCATAATTAAATATCCATTAACTAACTATGATTATCTTACATATAATTTTGTTTAGAGTTTACAATTAATTCAATATGTTTTGATGACTCTGTCCTTGTTGTGACTCTCCTTGGCCCACACATTGGACAGGCTGAGAAATTGAATCTTTAGAAGACTGATGTTATATTAAACATAATGAATATGCTTCCAGAATTTTTCTGTTATTTCCAATCTTTACTTGTTTTTACCTGGTCATTTTGTTTATTATATTTGTCATTCTCTTTGACAATTAGTCATAGGGAAAAAGAAGAAAAACCTTTCAATGAGGATGGCTTGCTTTTTTCACTTAGAGGAGAAAAATTAAATGCTTAAGTAAATAATACTGTTCAGTTACAATCAAATGATTTAGCCTGTGGTTCCTCAGGTTCCCAGGAGACAACATTTTGAAACAAATTCATGTTCATGAAATGAACTAGAAGTAGTGGTATTTAGCTGGATTTCCCATTTTCATTCATGTTTCTTTCCATAGTCTCCTTTATATGAAGTGACTTGAATTTTCCAGTATTTGGAAGAGATTGTCTAACTTGCCATAGATGTGCCTGTATATTGTCATTCTTTACTGAAATTCAGATTAATGTTTGACTGTTTTATTTTTCCCCGAAAATAACTTAGATTCCATTAGTCACTAACAGTGAAAAAGTAACTTTATTACATCAGTAAAACAGGCACTTAAGTATTCCTTCTTTTAAATGGATACTGATGTCTTTATCACATAAAAATAAGCAATCCAAAATCAAGTTGCAGTTTTGATATGTGCTGTATTTTAAAATACCACACTACTTTTAGATATATACTCCGTCGGTTGGACTGCTGGTGAGCTCTTCCTGCAAATGTCCAGGACAGCTGGAGCCAGCCTGGACTCTTCATTCTGGGGCTTTTTGCCTCCCAGCAATAGTGGTCTGCTGAATGATCATTTTGTAAATACTGTTGACTCGTTCTAAGATAAGATGGGTGTTTCAAGGACAGGGATGAATATATTTGGAGAAGAGTCTCTACAGAGAGAGAGAAACATTTTTTTTTAAGCAAAAAAGTTGTTTTTCAAATTCATAAAAAATTTACAGCTCACAGTCACACCTAATTTTCCTCACATCCTTTAAGAGATGTGATATTTTTTTTTAAGATTGATTTATTTATTTTGAGAGAGTGAGAATGAGAGAGAGAGAAAGAGAGAGAGAGGAGGGCCAGAGGGAGAAGCAGGCTCCTCGCTGAGCAGGGAGCCCGATGCGGGACTCGATCCCAGGACTCCAGGATCATGACCTGAGCCGAAGGCAGTCGCCCAACCAACTGAGCCACCCAGGCGTCCCATAAGAAATGTGATTTTTTTTTTAAGGTTTTATTTTGAAGTAATCTCTGCACTCAACATGGGGCTCAAACTCATAAACCCAAGATCAGGAGTCACATGCTCTACTGACTGAGCCGGCCAGGTGCCCTGAGACTGTGATTTTATCTAAAATCTGGATCATGAAGTTCAGATAACTACTAATTATCTTGAATTAAGAGTGTTTTCTTTTTTCATTACTTCATCTGTTTGCTGATCTAAAATTCCACTTTTAATGAAATTTTTTTTTATTCTTAATTGATGTATAGTTGACATACAGTATTATATTCATTTTAGGCATGCAACAATAGTGATTTAACAAAAAGCTCACCATGATATAGACACATAACAAAGAGCTCACTACAATAAGTGTAGTTATCATCTGTTGCCATCCTTGGTTATTACAGTATTATTGACTATATTCCCTATGCTGTACTTTTCATCTCTGTGACTTACTGATTTTATAACTGGAAGTTCATACCTCTTAATTCCTTTCACTTATTTCACCCATCTCCCCACTCCCTCCCCTCCGGCAACCATCAGTGTATTCTCTGTACCTATGAGTATATTTGTGGTTTTTTGTTGTTCATTTGTTCTGCATTTAGGATTCCACATATAAGTGAAATCATATGGTATCTGTCTTTCTCTGTGTGACTTACTTCACTCAGCACAACACCTTCTAGGTCTATCCGTGTTGTTTGCAAATGGCAAGATTCCACTATTTTTTTATGGCTGAGTCCTTTTTGTTGTTGTTTTGTTTTAAACTGGACCTTCTGGCTATCATTCCTAATCTCTTTTAAGTGGACTCAGTCCCTTGAGGAGAGAATCTAATACAGCTCCTTCTTCGCTGAAGATCCCTGATAAATCCCTGGCCCATAGGACCCTCCACAATCTGCAGTCTCTCTTCTCTTTCTGTATGTTTGTTCTCGTCTTCTGCCACTCTGCCTGCAGCCTTCCCTCTGTCAGCAGAGCTCTGGGTACCTCATCTTCTCTCTGCCTGGAATTCCTGGTTCTTTGTTGGGAGTTAACTCTTACTGTTTTGTCAAACTTCAGTTCAAGCATCACCTCTCCGTGAAGCCTTCTGTATAAGCCCTCCCCTCCCGCTCTACCTGACTGCCCTCCACAGTGAGCTCATGGCCCTAGCACACACCTCTGTCAGAATATTTACTTGATTCTGTGCCTCACCAGGTATTCATCTCCTTGAGATCCTGAGGCCTGCCTGCCTTTCCATTCCCAGCTCCTGGGCATGGTAATTAGAATGTAGTAGATTCTGCAGAAATGTTTTGAATGAAAGGATAAATGAATTATATTAATAAATGTATATGTTCATCTTCTCTATATAAGCAAGTCAATCTGTTTAATTTACCAATTTCAATATTCAGCTGCTTTAACTTGCATAAATCTATTACGCAGAATGCATGTTGCCTATATTACTAAAATCCAAAGACTAAATTTCAGTATAATCCAAAGGAACATTAGACTTTAAAGAAGAGTCAGTCTAATATTATGTCTGCAGTTTGTTCCTTAATTTATTCAGTCAACATTTAATGAGTACCTTCTGTGTTCCAGTTACTGGGTTAATAGCTAGAGGATAAAAAATGACCTGGACATGTTCTCTTCCCTCCTTAAGTTTTTAGTTTGGAGGGGAAAGCACAAGTAAACAGATGGTTACAATTCACTGAACAGCTGATATGGGAGCTCATAGGAAGGATACCTGAATACAACTAAAATAGAAATCTACTTCCTCTTTCTTCCCAAAATGAACAAACAGCCTAAGGTACAAGGTACAAAATACATTTCTGCATGTTCCCAAAAATCAGTTAGTTGAGAACTAAGAAAGCATAACTTCTGCCAATTAATCAGTTAAATCAACTTCCTCCAGTCAAGCAAAGAGAGGCCTATATCCTTATGTTAACCAGAGGATTAGAAATATTTAAGATGAACCTTCTTTTGGGGGACATTAACCTAATAATACCACTTTTTAGTTTGAAATTATTCTTCTCTTTTCTTAAATTTATATCTTTGTTTAATTAGAAACTCTTTTCTGACCTCATTTCATTAGTTATATAGCCATATGCCAGTAACAACCACATTTGAACTAGATTTATTCTGGAAGCTTTTGAAAATAAGGAGAGTTGTGATAGTAGTGAGCAAGTTCAAATTTTATTTCTCCAGATCTGTAGGAAGAAATTGTCAGTATGAGAAGCACAAGGGAAGATGTGGAAATTTTGCCTTTTTTCATTGTAGTATTGATTTTTTTCCCTCATGTCTTTGGAAATGATTATGATGCTTTCACTAATGGACCCTTTGGCATAGATTGTTTGCAATATAGTAAGGCAGTAATAATATCTTATATCTTAGTGCTTTATGGTTTTCAAAGCCTTTTTTTATTCATTGTTTATTTTATGTTAATAATAACCTTGTGGGGTTGGCTGGGAGGTAACTTTAATCCCCCCTTTTTTTATGTAAGGGTATTTGAGACCCATCAGCTAATAAATGAGGGGTCACACAGCTAATAAATGAGGGGTGACAATAGAACCCAGGTTTTGTCTTTAGGCTTAGCATCTCTAATAATCCACACTGCATGCATATGTAGAGATGAGATGAAATAATTTTAACAAAAAGGTATTTCTCAGCAGAGCTGTCATTACCTTGGTCTTCGGCTTTTCAAGTTTGGAAAATTAATTTTATCAATCTACTAATAAGTGACTAGTGTGTGCTTCACACTAACCAAACTCACAAGGGACGAAACCAAAATGCCAGTACATTACAATGAGAAATATGACTGTCAGGAGAATACAAATCCCTGAATCTGCTGGTCAATCAATGCCGTTGCTTCAGTAAAAAAAAAAAAAAAATGTATTTTGAAAAAAAATGTAATTTGAAATATAAATTATGTATCTGCAATTTGCTTGCGAACGTAGAATCAGAAGGTAAGTCAGATTAGCGTTCTTAATTACCATAGTCATCAGAAATGATAATTTGACATAACTGTTTTAGTAAAAATTGTATTATCACAGGAACCAGACCTCTTGAGTCTCATGGCCCTAGGCACAATCTTAGCCCCCAAGCCCCTGTGCCCGGAGACTTTTCCTGGATTCATTCTTGGTCACATCTCATCTGTGTCTTAATCATTTCTTTATATTTCTTTTTTCCCCTTACTGAATATAAAATTATCGGACATTAGATTATTACTAGACATTAGATTATTAGATTATCCTCTTATCAGACATGAGATTATTCGATTATTATTCCCTCCCTAGATTATGAGATTATATTATTAGCGTCTGCATTCAATTTACTTTTGATTTGATTATGTTAGCACATTTGATTGGTTGTTTAGTATGCAGCCCAGTACCTCCAGCATAGGGGTCATTAAACAAATATGTGCAAAATAATAACTCACCAATGTGTCTTTCTATAATTTGTATTGGATGATAGAATATGGAGTAGTGATGAAAATGATTTTTTTTTCTTCCTAAGTAACTACCAATAAGCAACACAGCCGGAACAGAATAAAGAGACACAGATACACCCCCAGATTCTTACAGAGTTTTTTTCTTATTGTCTGATGGCTAAAA